GTGCGATAGAGAGCAGATGGAGGGCTGGAGAGGCTGAGATCTTGCTCTGATAAGAGTAGGAGCACTGTAGAGGCTGTAGGACGGGCGAAAAGTGCGATCTGGAGCCTCTAAAGCGTTGGGCTCATAACCTGTCCAACTGGGAAGCTGGCAGGCGTCCAGATACACACAAAGATGCCTGAGTCAAGCTCTATTAATGCTAAGGAAGTACAGAAATATACAGAGGGACATACCTGAGTCAAGCTCTATTAATGCTAAGGAAGAGAGCTTGACTCAGGAGCGCATTTTCGCTCTTCTGGGAGCGTGGGAACCAACTGTACAGTATGGGAAATGCAAGGGAAAAGCGCAGAGTTAAAGGGGCTAAGTCACCAGGGTAAAGGAAGCCAAAATAGCGAAGTGGTTACCACCACTAGCAGGGATGCATACCTGGAGGTTTTGGTTCAATCCCCAGTCAGTGCACTTTTTACCTCCAATAATGGCCTAGGCCCTTCTGGCCGAGTTACCTTGTTCTGAGCCACTCCCTTTGTTGTGAGCCACTCCCTTTGTTGTGAGCCACTCCCTTTGTATTCCTTGTATTCCTTGTTATCCTTGTTCTTCTTTGTATCTCGATGTCCCCTTGTTCTGTCCTTGTTCTTTGATGCCCTTGTATTCTACAGTATATAAGGGCTCCCTAGGTCGCTCTGTGTCCCCCAGTCTTGACACAGTTTGACCGAGCCCTTGGGTGTTATCTGAAGCTAGTATATTCCACAGCCAACAAGAATCGATAAGGATGGTGCGCACCATATCAAAGATTGTATGGTTTTGACATTCCGCAACACCATTCTGTTCTGGAGTATAGGGTGATGTCATCTCTATACGGATCCCGCGTTCAGCGCAATAAGCCTTCAACTGCTGAAAGATCAACTCCCTGCCATTATTGCAGTGGATCATCACCAGCTTCTTCACAGTCTCCTGCTCCACCTCTGCCAGCCAATGCTTGAAGCAATTGAAAACCTCTGATTTGTGCTTCAGGAAATAGACCCAAAGCCAACGAGATTTGTGGCTGGGATAGGGTATAGATGGTGTGGGGCATACTGTAGTGTTCTCTAACCGGGGTGTACTGGTTGTGGCAGGGTCCCCAAGGGGTATATGTGTGTTTTTGAGGTTAGTCAGTACTGGCTATGTGAATAGTGGCCAGATTGGTCCAAAATTTGGTGTGCACACCGTGGTACACTACAAGACACTAGGGAGAGGTGGTTTTCACCATCAGACCTGGAAGCTGTAGTTGCAGAGAGGGTGCAGGAGGGGTACCAGCCAAAAGCGGTATTTTGCCACTCGCTGATTGGAATCTCTTGGTGTCTTATGTAAACACATAGCATTATATAGAGAAACCACAGTCCCCAAAACCCAGAGTGTGTAGTGCAGTATTGGTGTGGGAAAATGCGAAAACGTGTCCCAGAGCCAGTGGTAAAAAATATTCTTTGATGTTAGACGGGGATGTAAAGCCATAGCAGTCAACTTCCTTATTGGGTAGGCGCAAGAAACTTGTCATCAGCGACTCAGCGATGCTGGTGATGGCTTCCACAGTGTACAAGTGCTTGGTAGATATAGTAAATTGAACGGAAATTACTACTGTATACATCCCGTATAACCCAAACCCTAACCAACCAGGGCTTTCCCCCCTGGACCCCCCCCCTTGAAGATGTTCTGTAACCCGCACCCTAACCCACACCCTAACCAACCGGGTGGGTGCCCCCCCCGGACTCCCCTAAACCTGACCTAACCCAAAACCTAACCCAAACCTTAACCGCCCCCTTGCCGTGCAATGTTGAATATGAGGACGGTACGGAAATAAAGAATATAAAGATGAAAAATATATGCTCCAGTGAGAGTCGAACACTCAAATGTCGTTAAAGTGCTACCACAAGATAGCTGCTGGACTACGGCAGCAATGCTTGTCAAGCAAACTGTATATTGAGATCCATTAGCATCCGGCACTTGCCGCAGTACCGTGATTCGCATCTTGCCGCGCCAACCCAAACAGGAAGTTGACTGCTACGGCCTTACAGTCATTAGACGGTAGCCTCTACATCATATAGGTTGCAACAGCAAGTCCCCCCACCATATGTGATGTTGTTCGCATGCCACAGCAGTCAGAAGAACCAAATATATCAATAAATGGAGCAAAGAACCAGAAAGAGCATGAAAAAGGGTCCCTGGAGTGTACCATTTGATATACTACCATGTTAGGAAGTCCATTATGTAATGTAATGATGGCATCTGTGAACAAGAGCCACTACCAGCATCCCTGATTTTTTGTGCATTTTTTTCCGATTTGATATGGGCTGCCAAGTATTATCCTGCAGTGATCTATATATGGGCTGGACCTATTTATAGCAGTAAGATGTGGTATCTGGGTCTCACCAACATATTCCGATTTTACTGCGATTGTTTCGGAATTTTCCGGCCCAGAATGAAGGCCCCAGGCTATTATTACCCTCCTGGACTAATTGGGGTGGCTGTTTCCCAGGGTATACACCCAAACCCGATCTGGATCTTGATGCCTAGATGCCAGGCAGGGCATTTGAAACCCAGCCCGGCACCCAGCACCCCTCCCGGGACAAGGGAGGGTCATAATACATTACACTGGAATGTTATCCTGTGTAATGCATAAGGGTTTGTGACCACAATAGGGCTGTAATACATTAATACTACAGCATCGGCTGATGCAGCCTTTCGCAAAGGCGAGTATGTGCCGTACTTGACAATGACAGACACTGCTCGCTTGAATGCACACCGCAGTGTGGAGTACCGGTTCAATACCGATGGTACCCCCGGCTTCACAGCCATCGGGCTATCTGAGGAAGGCCAGCTCGCCATCAAGCTCCTCAACTGGGTTGAAGCTGCGAAGGAAGCTGTCGCCCTGACTCGCAAGTACCACAGTGACATCCAGGCCGATACCCTGGCCCGCCACCATGACAATGTCTCTGCATTAGCACACACTCACGGGTGGCTGCTCACCCGTAAGTACGATGTACAGCAGCACCAAGGAGTGGTGGATGACCTCCGCATGGATGTCGGTCCCCTTGACTATGCCGCAGTATCCCTGCTATCCCGCAGACCCAGTCTGTGGTCCGAGGAGTCCGCACCCGCTGCCACAGTTGCTACACCCACTGCCGCGGTTGCCATGCCCATGATGTACTACCCCCCTGATGTCCGGGCAGGCACCGCATATGCTGAAGCGGGGTCCAGCGACGCAGTACATTGACTACCTACCGCAGAAGCATGGCCGGTTTCAAAATGACGGCACCAACTGATGCTTTCGATGCGGGTACGACAGTCACCTCCCGGCCGCTTGCACCTGGACCACCACCACAGCTGGATGCCCGGTACAACCTATCAGCACTGGTGCCAACGGCAAAACATCAGTCACCAGCTCTGACGGTAGACCCTTCTGCTTTGGGATCCTCAACACCTGATGCTGTAGTAGTATTACATTAAACCTGGACAACACTCGTGTGCTCCTTTACAAAGTTTCGGGACAATTGTCCAGGCCTAATGTAATGGGATTTCAGGCGGCAAGCTGCCTGCCATGAGCCGGGCTGAGCTTGAATGGCCTGCCCCGGCATCCCGGCAGGCAGGCAGGGATCTGGGCTAGATCTGGTGCCTCGGGAATAGCCTGGGGGGCTAATAATAGGCTGGCTGATCATCCAGGCACCTGGGTGGCTCCAAAAAATGCACAACAATTCGGATAAAATCAGAATATATTGCTGGGACCCAGATTCCACATATGAGTGCTATAAATAGATGATGTGTATATGTAGACCATGGCAGAACGCAGCTTGGCAGCTCATAGAAAATTGAAAGAAATGCGGAAAAATACAGAAAAATTCACAGGTACTGCCAGTAGTTCCTGTGCACTAATGGCATCACTATATTACATAACACACTTCCAAATAGGGAAATATTGATGAAGAGTTATGGAGGCAGCAGCACGCACAGTGCACCCTACACAACTCACCTGTATTGAGTGGATGCAGTAGCTACTGGTAAAGCTTGCATAAACGACCCCTGTCATTAGGCAGCAGAGCTGCAGGGTTTATATACACTGTGGCCCATAGGCTGACTAAGCTACGTGGAATTACTATAATCCTACTGAGCTCCACCTATGATGTCACTGACCCACATGAGCTCTGTGCCCTTGTACAATAATGGAATATACCAGAGTGTTCCAGAGAGTTCCGGTACGTTCTTGTACGTTGTAGAACCTGGCAGCTAAGTCAGCACCTAGTTCAACACTCCCCCTCGCTAAGTGCCGCGGGTAATCGCGCACGCAAGCGTTGGGCTGACTTAGATTACTTGTAAAACCTAAGTCCAAGTTGCGCTCTGAAGCGCAGGAACTTGACATATCCTAAGTTCTTAGTGAACATGTCTGCAGGGTTATTCTCGCCATCGATGTAGAATAATTCAACTTTCTTCTGCTCGATGACTTCCCTGATATAATGATAGTGAATGTCGATATGTTTAGACCTTCGCTCAGTGACTGGATTAGACGCAAGGAATATAGGTCCTTGGTTGTCACCGCAAATAGGAATGGGTCTGAGTTGGTAGCCTAACTCATCAAAGAGTTGTCTAACCCATACAGATTGGCAGCTACAATGACTGAGCACCATGTACTCGGCTTCAGTGAAGGATAGCGCAACAGTTTTCTGCGCTCTCGACTGCCAACTGAATATGCCATTGGCTAATTTTAGGAAGTAACCGGTTTGGGACTTCCTGGTACTGGGATCTGATGCCCAGTCCGAATCAGTGCACGCAGTAATACCAAGTCCACTAGCACCATCAAAAGCTGGCGTATAGTTACGAGTCCCGATTAGATAGTGGCAGATATACAGCGCTTTATCTAAATGGGCTTGGGATGGATTAGCAGCAAATTGCACTAACTTGGTAACTGCATAGCTGATGTCTGGTCGAGTTCCAAGCATGATATAGAGTAAGGAACCGATCACAGTTTGGAACCGGCTACGAAGAGTGGATTGACCGGGCCATTGTGAGGCTCAGGTCGATAGCCTGCAGGGAGAGGAGTTGCCACAGATTTTGCATTCTGCATGCCACAACGCTGCAGCACTTTATCAAGGTAGGTGATCTGATCAAGATGAATCTCTCAGCCTTGCCTTGTAATGCGCATGCGTAGGAATTCCTTGACATCGCCAAGGTCCCTGCATTCCCACTTCTTCATGAATCGTGACTTAACATCTGACACGAGAGACTTGTCCTTGCCGAAGAACAAGGCATCGTCAACATAGATGACAATAATTACCATACGGCCATCCTTCTCCTTCAATAGGAAGATGCCAGCATCGGTAGTTAGACGTTTGCAGCCTAATTTCTCTAAAGACTCAGCAAGTGTGTGCCACCAGGCAAGCCCCGCTTGCTTAAGTCCGTAGAGTGCACGGCCCAGTCTACAAACCTTGCGCTCCTGGCCTTTTACGGTGAAGCCTTCAGGTTGTTCCATGTAAATCTCCTCATCCAGTTTGCCATAAAGAAAGGCATTGCGCACATCGAGTCCAGAGATGTGCCAGTCCTCAAGTGCTGCTAGCGCGAGCATAAGGTGCACTGTCTCAAAGTGCACAACTGGTCAGAATATTTGGTCGAAGTCTGTACCTTCAACCTGCGAGAAGCCTTTAGCGACTAATCTTGCTTTGCGACGTTGATAAGCCCCAACGATCTTCTGACCCCCAAAATTGTGGACTTGACACATCGTACATCCCCTCCAAAGTTTATTCGACACCACCTGTCGAACCTCTTACACTACAAGTAACTGACGATGGGTTCTGGATTTAATTCCGGACCTTCTAAAGTCCTCAAGGCAGGTGCAGATCACCAACATGATTTATCTCCGCAGCCAGACGCTCCGAAGTCACCCAGGAGAATACCTTTGTGACTAATTATCTCCGGGAACGGCGGAGGCCCACGTCGCAGTGAGTCATTGGTATTACCACTCCCCAGTCATCACGCCCCTTCGTTTCCATCAAAGCGACCGAGTCAGCGGATGTAAATCGATGGCCGGACGGAACGTATCAGTCAGCAAGCAGCCGGAGCTAAACTGCACGTGATCAGCCTGCAGTACCGCATGATGAGGTACTTCAAGCGAGCGTTGACGCGTCGAGGCTACCTCTAGGACCTAGGACGAGCACGTGGAAACACGGCAGGATCGTATGGGACATGGTATAGCGGTGGGCAAAGGCTGAGTAATTGTGTGGGATGCGGAGCATATTCGTTATTTAACTCCGGGCGGACGCAAAACCATTCCAATAGCATAAAAATGTATGGAGCGTAGCGGAAAATCCAAGTTTTGTACTTCACCCTCTCAGCGTACCAGAATTATCATCTCAGCGACCCTCGGAGTCCCTCCGCGTCGGACTTAGCATCTACAATCAATCCTAGCTTTGCCAATAGGCCTGACTCGTCGAAACTAAATAACTCCGCCGTCGCATATCGATCCTAGTAAGCTCCGGATTTAAAGTATAAAATTCACCAAGCGTCTGTAGGCAAGAGACTATTGTGTGGGTTCAGTGGAACTCCCCACCCGGGCTACTGGCGAACCTCGGAGATAAATACTCCGGAGAATCGCTATACTGTTTGTTTCAGGCCTCAAGATTTTGTTTATTTAGGTTTTCCTACGGGCTACCCTACGGCGTCTTACTTCTCCCCCTCCCTTCGAACTTAAATATTACCCTTCAATCGCCTTAGACCGCCTACACCCATACCGCTGGGTGTTTTAGCTTTTATTTCTTTTTGGTCTTTGGTGTTGTCGTGTGTTAGTGCCTATCAACGGTCTCCTGGCGAAGAATCATTTATCCTTATCAGCAAAGCACATACCCGGGCGCATGCACCTCTTGCTGTAGTATTATTACATTATTCACCCAATACTACCGTGTACCCTATTACATTAAACAGGCTACACGTGCGGTGTTTATGCATTATTCTCCAAATA